GGTACCGCAAAAAGTTAAATACAAAAGTTATAGGATTTTTAAATATCTATTAGCGAGTAATAGATTTAAATATACAGGGTCGTTCATAAAGTCGTGGCACATCAAAGTTTCATTTTTTTAAAAAGAACCCCTGTATATTATTATATATTTCAATTCTTCCTTCAATTCTAAGCAAAAATCGAAATACACATAATGTACTTCAAACCAACCGTTTCCGAGTTATTGACTTTTGAAAATATCACTTAAACAATTCGATTTAATTAATTTCGATGTGTTTGGATTGATTTAATGATGCCATTCTGCCGAAACTGTGATATTGTTATAATGGGTTTTTGAATTCCTATTAGCTACTAGTAAATTTAATTATACAGGGTCGGTCATAAAGTTGCGTCACATCAAACTTTATTTTTTTTTAAATGAAACCCCCTGTATATTATGCCATATTTTAATTCTTCCTTCAATTTTAAGCAATAATCGTAATACTAAATGCATATAAATTGAAGAACTGAAATGTTAAACGAAAATTTTGTAATTTCCAGACTTGATATACTCTCATTTTATACATCTGTAAATCAAAATAAAAACATTAAATCACCACAATTCACCAAAACACTTTTAGTTTTACACTGGACGCGCGTTTCGCTAACCAGATTATAAACTGTTAGTTTGGTTTGGTTTGGTAACAAACTGTTAGTTTATAATCATCTGCTGATGATGCTAACATGGTTAGCGAAACGCGCGTCTAGTGTAAAAGTAAAAGTGTTTTGGTGTATTGTGGTGATTTAGTGTTTTTATTTTGCTGTGTACCACCAAAGGTTCCAACCCTCAACTGTAATAACATCTATAAATGCTAACTTGAGAACTAATGTCAAATAGTATCACAATTTCGGCAGAATGGCATCGTTAAATGAAACTGAACATATCAAAATTAATTAAATCAAATTGTTTAAGTGATATTTTCAAAAGTCAATAACTTGGAAACGGTTGGTTTGAAATACATTGTCCCTATAACTTCTATTATATTTAACTTTTTGCGGTATCTCCTATATTTTACCTAATAATCGACTGTTTCCATACATAACAGCGACCCTGTATATAAATTATACATTTGTCATCCATTAAGTTGTCAAATGATGTTGTCAAACCCCCAAATAATGGTTATATTAAGTCTGTAAGATTTAATCTAACTGACCTTTGTCTATAATTTGATGATCTCCTCACTCTGACAACCCTAGGAGTATCGTCAAAGTAGAATGTATCCAATGATCTTGTTTTGAGTTTTCTGACTTGCTGTTGGTTAGTGTTTTCTGGCACACGCTGTATATTTTCAACTGTGTACTTGTAGTTTCCACTTAAAGCCTGGTTGTCATTGTCAGGTGTATATTTTACTGGATTAGAGTGAACCAAGTAAACTCCAAAAATCATGATAAAGGAGGCAATCTAAGAAAAGACAGAATAAAAGATATTTTTAAAATTTTTAGCTCCGAAAATAAAGTGATTTATTTTAGATAAAATAGATAGAAAAACATAGTAAGAGACAGCTTATATATAGAGGATCGGTTTCCCCCCTCAACCAAATCTCTCCATGATAGCAATGGAGAAAGTGGTAAAATATCTGTTCCCTAACCACAAATCTGTGATATTTAAGTGCTGTGATATAGATAAGTTTGAATGTTTTACAAAGGATGAACTACTAATGGCTTGTGATAGGTTAAAGAATAATAAAGCACCAGGGCCTGCTGGTATTCCTCCAGAAGTTATTAAACAGATGGGCAAGGTGAAGCCAGACTATGTGTTGTCAGTGTATAATCAACTTGCCCGGTCAAACTGCTATCCGACTCGGTGGAAAGTTGCAAAGTTATTATTAATCCTAAAACAAAATAAAAATATAGGCGAACCAACTGCATACAGGCCCCTCAGCCTCCTGGACGTTGAAGGGAAGATATTTGAACACCTAATACTGGGAAGATTAAATAGCGAAGTAGAGAGAACTGGTGGACTGTGCGACAGACAATTCGGATTTAGAAAAGGAATTTATCTTGGAAGAGTTGAGGGAGAGGGGCATTAAAAATAGCCTAATAAATATAATAAGTTCTTATCTGTCCGAAAGAAAAATCTTGGTGGAAACTGAAGAGAGAACGAAATTGGTAAGAATAAATTCCGGAGTTCCGCAGGGATCTATTCTTGGTCCCACATTGTGGAACATTTTGTACAATCCCCTGTTAAAGTTGGATATGCCAGAGGGTATTACGCTTATTGGATTCGCGGATGATGTAGCAATGGTAGTGATTGCTGATAATGAAGAAATACTTATGAATAAAGCTAACACCGGCCTCTTAAGAATTTCTAAATGGATGGCACAAAAGGATTTACAGCTAGCACCACAAAAGACTGAGGCGGTAATTCTATCCACCAAACGAAAACTGGCACCAATTCTTTTCGATGTTGAGGGAACTTTGATCGTACCTAAGAATGCTGTAAAATACCTCGGAGTCTGGTTAGATAATTAAACAACATTCTGTGAACATGTTACCCAAACAATTACTAAAGCGGAAAAAACTCTTGCTGCATTATCAAAATTAATGTTGAACATAGGGGGCCCTAGGTCATCAAAGCGTAGAATTCTTGTAAGCGTAATACATTCACAATTGTTATACGCAGCTCTGGTATGGTGTAAGGCAATGGACAAAATAAAAACAAAGCGAAAGATAACAGCTCTGCAGCGCAAATTATGTATTAGAGTTTGTAGCGCTTACAGAACTGTATCTACTGAAGGCAGTTGGTGTCATTGCGGGCATTCCTCTTATCCACATATTAGCTCATGAACGAGTGGATAGATACAAGGGAGAGCTCAAACAAATAGCCAGGAAAACTGTGATGGAGAAGTGGCAGGATCAGTGGGATAAAGGAAAGTACGGAAGATGGACCTGGAGACTTATACCCAACATCGAAAAATGGATTGACAGACCATATGGTGAAGTGGGATACCACCTGTCTGGACACGGGTGCTTCCGAAAATACCTCTATAAGATGCGGCGGGCAAGCTCTGAATCATGTTTATTTTGTGGTCAAATAGACGACGTTGAACATGTGTTCTCCTGTCCAAGATGGAAGGATGAGAGAGATCATTTTAAGAAGGAGAGTGTAGGTATCAAATATATATGATACATTATAATATATTTACCTGATATGGACTCATCTTTAAGCACAAATATATTTTTTTATATATTTCACTACAAATATTACTCACACTATCTCAGAGTGAACTGATATAACACTACGATTGTTGCAAGCATTTATATAGTAAAATATAAGTTGATTTTCTTATTATTAAACCATGTTTAAATGTTCTAAAAAACGTTTTTGTCAAAACCAATTAAGACATTTAACGAAAGTATTCAGTTCTCATAGAAAATTAGCATATATTTTATTTTTTAACGGTGATTTTCCATCTTTTTTCTCTAGAACAATGAAAAAGATGTTTTGGAGGCATGTCCGGTGACAGTTATGCCATGACGAAACGAAATATATGAGAATTGGATTGTTTATTGTAACGTATATGCGGATTTATTTATTTATATCCTGGTTTTTAACAATGTTTGAGGAATTTGTATGCATTAACAATAGACTTATAATTGGGTAAAAGGATTTTGATATTCGATACGTACGATAAGTTGTGAAATTTATTGTAAAAATATGACATAGGAAAATTTCTGTTGCTCCTGATTGCAACAAAACAATTTTTTAAATTTTATTTTTTTTGTCACTTCCTGTTTCACCGAAAACGACTACAATGTTTGATTTTTAAATGGCACCCTCGGTATTTTTTTACTTTATTCGATAGAAAATGCCACTCTGAATAGAATGACATATCATATGTCAACTTTTGACATTTTCGCTTTAAAAAATAATATTTTAAATGTCAATCTAGAGTGCTATGGCTGTGTTAAAAATACTAATTTTTAATCAAGGAGCCTTGGAAAAATAAATTTGATTATCTAATGTTTTTCGTGTCTTGTCCTGGCCGATTAAAAAATGCCTAATCGTATTTTTAATCATATCTCAATTCTTTAAAATGGAACGAAGGTGGCTATTTGGAAAAAGCATTTTTTTACGAATTATTTGGTACCACACATTTGGCATTTTAAGTCAAATTATCGTTATGAACCTCTTACAATTTCAAATAAACCATATGAGAAAATGCCAAAAATTAACATATAATATGACATGTAATTCTATTCAGAGTGTCATTTTCTATTGAATATAGTAAAAAATGCGAGGGTGCCATGCATTTAAAAATCAAAAGTTGTAGTCATTTCCGGTGAAACAGGAAGTGACCAAAAACAATTGAATACGGCAATCAGTCCTAATTTATGTCATATACTAACATACTAAATCTCGTTTTTTTTATCTGAAAAAATAAAAAAGTTATAGGGGGTGAGCCACTTTTGAGACGCACCCGGTATATTCAAAAGTCAAAAAGAGTCGACTTATTATATTTTAAAAACTAAAAAAATGCTTAAATTTTGAAAACCACTTTTTCCAAACCATTCACCCTGTATAGTTTATAGTTTATATAATTAAGTTTTTTTATGGAAACCTCGGCCAAAAACGAGAGACTCCCTGTATGTTTTAAATAAGCGCAAATATATTTAGGGGTAGTATAAAAAAATCAATAAATAAAACATCATAGATACTATTTTTTCGAAATTTTATTAAAAACTATTAAAAATATTTTGTTTTAAGGTTTATTTACACATGGCATTTTTTTTACAAAAACTACTATTTTTAGGTATATAACAATATCTATAAAAAAGTGAATTTTAAGTTGTATATAAAAATAAAATAAAAAAT